TTTTGTAATGAGAAGATGTGGCTTAGAGACCTAACAATGAAGGAAAAAAAAAAGTTGGGCTGTGAATGACTGTCACCGCGGGGGGGGGAGGGGAGGGGGGTTGTATGTTTAAAACTGTATTTGTATTTGTATGTTTTACTCTTAAAAAATGTATAACTAATAAAGATTATTTTTTTAAAAAAACATGTGAGGTTTTACATTTTAATAAAATATTTCTACAATATTACACACAGGGTTTTTCTGTCTGATGAATTTTCTGCTGAAGTCTGTCTATAATCTCTATTACAAGATTACAAGATGAATTTCTTGAAGAGGTCATAAGCAACCAGGAAATCAACTTGAATAGGATCACCACAAAGCACAATGTCACACCATTTTTCTGTTAAATTAAAATTACATTGCTTCTAGAACAAAGAAAATGCAGTCCATTCAGTTGTTGCAAACTTCTCCCAAAAATTGATTACCGTATTTTTTTGCACTAAAAGGCGCACTTCCCTCTCAAAAAAAGTGGGTGGAAATGCCTATGCAACTTATAGAGTGAATATTGTGGCTGGGGGGGGGGGAGGAAGGTTGGTGCCAGAGAATGCTGGAGCCTTCGCTGCCGAGCAGCTGATTGGCAGTTGGACCAGCCTCCAGGAATATTGCCGATCAGCTGTTCTAGACGGCAGGATCGCCACCACTGCCTTTTGCCACCCATTCGCTACCACTCCTATGCCGCCGTTCACCGCTATTCGCCACTGATAGGCAGCAATGAACGAGTGGCTGCAAATGGGCAACAGCGATCCCCACCACTTAAAACAGTTGATCAGGAGGCCGATCCAATTGTCAATCAGCTGCTTGACAGCAAAGGCTTCAGGTGGCAGCAGCAGCTCAGCTCAGTTGACCAGTGGTGGGCGCAACAGAGCGGAGCCCTGACGAGCCACATGATGGAGCTGCAATAATGTGCTGAAGCTGACTAAGCTGTTTGCTGTTAGGATGCTAGCCAGGTGAATATTGGATAGATGCTGGGAGGCAGAGGCAGTTTTTTTTTTCTTGTTTCCTCCTCTAACGCTAATGTGCGCCTTATAGTCCGGAGCATCTTATAGTGTTAAAAATACAGTATTTCACATCCATAAAACAAGGCAAAATGCTCCTTGGTAACACTTTGTCAGTGTGGGTGCATGAAGAGAGTCACCCTCTTCCAGATGTTACTGGATTGGCAGAAATCACTAATGCAGATAGCCTTGGAGATACCCAGATCCCAAGCCTTACAGAGTTTTAAAGGTGACAACCAACACTTCAATTTGCACCCAGAAGTCAGCCAATAATCAATATACTAGAGCTCACAAAGCAGCAATGTTACCTAACCGGGTACTCATAACTAACTCAATGAATTCTGGATCCATCTTGGAGCAGTTAGGGCATCAGGCTAGAAACTGGGAAATAGCGAGCTCTAGTCTCACCTTAGGCATAAAGCCGACTTGGTGACTTTGAGTTGTCACTCTCTTTCAGCCCTAGGAAGGAGGCAAGGATAAATCACATCAGAAAAACCTTGCCAAAAAAACCTGCAGGGACTAATCTAGGCAGTCTACAATCAAAACCGACTTGAAAACACACACACACACACACACACACACACACACACACAGTCTTAGAACAGATTTAATAAACAGGAAAATTAAACTGAGGTGGATCGTTGCTTCTCCAGCTAAAAACAGCCCTCTTAACCTGGCACTTTCCAGATGTTTTTGAGCAGGCATTCAGAGAATTTCAGCCAGCACAATCAAATACTGAGAATTTGTAGTTCTAACACATCTGGAGAAGAAATGTTGGAAGGCTGTTTTAATAACTAACTTTTTAAAATTATAAATGCACATGACAGTGATAACTCACCAAGAAAATTATCAAAGTTTGCATGTATGGGGAAAAAATCAGAGTGAACAATATTTTCTTTGTGTTGCTTTTTTGTTCTTTCTCTTCATACACAAAGCCCTTTTATGTATTACAGTTTCTAATTTCAGGGTGTAAATAAGTCCAATAGACTAAGCAACAATTATTGATTTTTTCCACCGTACACTGTACATAATCAGAAAAACCCTTTTTAAAAATTACTCCAGTGGTCAAATCAATGAAAGAGGACTTAGGGGAACGCCATACACAATTTGCCTTTTGAAGTACATGAAAATATCCTTTAGTTAAATTAGGTACTTAATGTTTGAAGGAACAAGTGTGATGAAAGGCAGATTCCTAACTAGCATTATGTTAGGAATATTCAGATAAGTCAAATAAATATTCTACATAGATTGTTTTTTTTTAAAAAAACCAATAGTCCATTAACTAATAATAAGGGAGGGACACAAAAGCAAGATACCCCCTACTCTTCTGTCACATTAATTTTAAACAGAATGATCATTTTTCCAGATGGCAGCATTTAATTGGCTTACAATTAGAACATTGTTTTAGAATCAGTTTCACATTTTCTAGGGTACTGACTCATAATTCACATGCTAACTGAAAATCATCCACATTATCTCTCTGGGACTCCCAAAGTGTCTTGTAAAAAAATGAGAACTGGTCTGGCCACTCAGAAAAACTGCCTCACACCAGTTGCTTCCTCTTGTCTAATGTTTCAAAAGCAGCAGCCTGCTGTATAGGGACGGCAATCAGTCACACTCTCTCTGAGAATGGAAAACGTCTGTTTATAGAACAAGGGAAGGCCCTGTTTTTAGCCTTTTTCTGAAGTTGGGATCTCCACTAGAGCACAATTGGACTGAGGGACATTGGTGCTACAAGGGAAATTGGTGAAAATTAAATCTAATTTCATATTGTTGACAAAATGTTTATCAGAAGGGAACAAGTTTTCCCCGTTTCGTCTGACTTTTGTAATAAGGACAATTGTGTATGCTAGTAAGAACAAAAGCAAAAGCCAGCTGGATCAGGCCAACTGCAAAAAGCACAAATGTGGAGAGTAACAGAGCTTCCTATTCACTGCTGGTCCCAGCAGTGATATGCAAGGAATGTCTCTGGGGACGCCAAAGATAGTGAGTGAATAGCTATCTCTGTCACTGTGAGGCTCCTTATCAACTGTTCTAAAGCAAAAGCTTTGACCAAGTAGAAATCCTTTGCTTCGTTATACCATGAACATGCATTATGCAAGTTTATGTGAAACATGTCTTCTTCAGCATGTAAGATGACACAACTTTAGTAACATTCTCTTGTTTTTCCTATGTTTCTATCATGATAAAGCTGTATACTCTTAATTTTTTTTATCCGTTGAATAATGCTTGTTGAATAATCCATCAGTAATCCTTGTTATATCCATGTTCTTCTCTATATTTAAACACATAAATGTCCATTCTGGCTGAGAGAGTCCTTGCAGAGTTTTTCTGTTTTTTCTTTACCCGTCATTTTTTTTATTGTACTATCTAGATTTACATTTGGAACAATCAGAATAATTTTCACCTTCTTCTCCAAACAAGATTCTCCCCAGATCAGATTCACCTGTCCACTTTCCTCTATGGCAGGTTTAAATGCTGTTTTACAATTTTATAAATATATTCAAGCAGTCTGTCAATCCTCTGGTTCAAAAGATATCCCAGTATCTGATACATCTAAAGATCTCTTCAGTTTCATCATCATATTAATGCATTGAAATGACTCAACTCTGTTCTTCAACTACTAAACTCTCTTGTAAGGTTGGTTCTCATACAGCCAAGAATATCACCAAATTCAATTGAATTTACCAATTCATTTCTAACTAGTCATGGCTATTCCCAAATAATACTAATTCAGGGTTGTTTGGTACACCAAAATCTGAAAAAAATAAGTTGGTTCCTTTTCTCCATTTCCACACTCGCTTTTAGGACAACTCTCCAATGCTCAGGACTGTTTGTTTCGGATTGGGATGTTACTGCAATCCAAGAGACTGTTTGGTCAGAAGAGCAAACTTTTGTTCTCTTTGAATTACATCAGGGTTTGGAGAACAAATCTGAGATCTGCAAAGGCCCAGTAATTTCTTTCTTTGGAGCGTAACTAGTGTCAGAAATGTACTGCCACATAGACCCACCATATGTTGTGTTTCTCTTTGCACTGTGAATATTTATAGTCCTGGTTCTTGAAGGCTCATGCTAATCCAGTGAACAAAAAGTAAGATTTAATGACCATCACTTTATTTGTATAATTTTCCACAAGTATTGTTCGGTCTGTTTTAGTGGCTTATACCATCTTTTAAAAACCACTATGAATCACTGTGGTGGAAGGACCAGCATATGGATACTCTTGCCCATTAACTTGGTCAACAAGTCATCTCTTCCTTAGGGTTAATGTCTTTGTTTTATAACCACATATTGAGCATGCTTTTTCAAACCAAGGTTCGTGCTCCTTTTAATCTTTTTCTGCACTTATCACCACTAAAGTGAAAACTACTAAGAGCAAAATTTACTTTTGCCTGGAAAATTAAGGGAGCATGTGTTGATAATACTAACTGCATGCCATTTTGAATAGGAATATTTTAATTCCTCTGTAGTTCTGTAAGGCTTAGTACAAATTTCTCCATATGACATTCACTTAGATTTCCAAATATCCTCCCATTCATCAGAATTTACTGCAGTTTTTCGAACTGATGGAAATAATGACTGCATTTTGTTCCGAAATTCATTCATCTAAAAAAAAAAAGATAAAAAATAAATGTAAAACCACAACATCACACCATAAATTCACGGCATTGATAGTATTCTCCTTTTATCCTTCTATTTTGAGTAAACATGCACACACACAGAAAAACAAGTTTTTCTTTATTCATCAACCAACAGGAAAAAAACAATGGATTGGTTATTTGGTGTAACTAGGATATAATGTATTCCTGTTTGAAACAAACCAAATGAAAGACAAGCAAGTTTGTAAATTCTTCTTGTAAAAATTATCACTTTTGGTAGTGGGTTTAAACTCTTGGCTATAAAGAAATCTGGTTAATATCATTTATAATAAACATGTATTTTGTTACATCTTAGCCAAGATAAACCATGAAAGAGATTTAAAATTTATGCAACAGAGAAAATAAGAAAAAACTCTTGGTTACAAATAATTACAAACTTTGTATTTTAAGTGTTGTTCCTGCACTATCGTCAAAATTATAGATCTACTGATTTCTGATTAGGACTACCAATTACCAACTTTGACGGATATACCAACTGTATCCTTTCAGAGATAGTCTAGTTATTATCTATACATTGGAAACTCACCCTTAGATTATAAAGCACGTTGAATGGGGCAATCGTTCCAACTGTGCAGACTGTGATGGATTAATGACTGAAAACTTATACAAGTTACACTTCATTTGAGGCAACTGCATTGGCTGTTAATTAACTCAAAAGTTGGGTTTAAGCTTCTGCTTATGGCCTAGAACAGGGGTCTCCAACCTTGGCAACTTTAAGACTTGTGCACTTCAACCCCCAGAATTCCTCAGTCAGCTTTGCTGAGTTGAAATCCACAAGTCTTAAAGTTGCCAAGGTTGGAGACCCCTGGCCTAGAAGACACTGAACAACTTGGGGCCAGGGGAAGGTCTTACTGCATGTTATCTGAACCACAGGGTAAGCAATTGTATGATGCTTTCCTCTACCTAACCTTGGCACTGGCCCTTCCTCAGATTTGTGAGATGCTTCTCATTAGATGGTTTGGATGCCTATTGAACATCTCTCTCTTCAGCGAGACTTTCTCCATAGCAATATGGGATGAAAGATTTTGTTGTGACTACAGTATTTTAGTTTTCTTTTTTTTTACCATGCGTGGGTGTGAGTACTTTTGTATAGGAAGGGACATATAAATATATGAAATCATCACCATAATCCAATTTCAAGCTCACAGACTTTCTTCAAAGGAAAAGAATAAGTAAGGTCTAATAGTGTAGATTTAACAGCAGCCTTGTTGAAGTTAAGGAATTGCATCCATGTCAATAACTGAACAAAACAGTGGCTGGAAACTTCATGGATTCTATTTGAAATTGCATAATAGAAGACAGGATATAAGTATAATTACCTCCCAAAGACCCATCAGATCCCACAGACTAGGCCTCCTCCGAATTCCATCTACTGGCCAGTGTTGATTGGCGACCACCCGGAGGAGGGCCTTCTCTGTGGCTGCTCTCGCCCTTTGGAACGAACTCCCCGCGGAGATCCAGACCCTCACCTCCCTTAAGGCTTTCCGTAAAGCCGTTAAAACCTGGCTGTTCCG